AGCAGAAGGATAGAGGAATCATGGCAACTTGTATAGCCCATTGGATGGAGGTGGTTTGGTTCTGTCTGGGAAAGACAGGTAGCTTTTGTTATTTTAACAGTTTTCTTCCACTGCTGGAAGAAGAAAAATCTTCCAACCTTTTTTTGCCATCGAACGTGGTACAGTTAGCCCTCTTCTAATTATCTGAGTACTGGTATTAGAGGGATGTATGATTATGTGCAGCAAGTCATTTTAGCAGGTCGACAAGCAACAATATCAGCCAAATAAAACTGCCAAGCTTAAGGAAAAGTGGTTTTCTCTCTCTGATATCTGGAGGAATTAATTTTTCCTACATTTCAAGGACAATACTTGGATTTGAGGATTGCGTTTCCCCAAAGATTAGTATTTAGTGATCAGCTGTTCCAGGCCCTTGATGGGTACTTTCACATACGTCGTTACAGTTTACAAAGCAGTTCTGAAATTCTAATTTTTTTTAACGTCTATTTTGCAGATAAGGATACTGAGGTCCAGAGAGAAGCTTCTAAAGAGCTGATGGGAAAACTGTCAATTTTATCATGTTCGTAACAATGGACTGATTTTAGCATAGTGATTTTTCTGGATAGTATGTTAGGTTCTAAGCCACTTAATGTTTTCTCCCGAGCAGTCGGTTACTGTGGCAGTCGTTAGAGCCATTTACCAATGTTTTTTCTTCTCCTCCCTGCCATGGGGTGGGAGGGCATCGCACCCCTTGCAGGTAGCTAATGAAATGTGAGTAGAAGTGATGGAGAGTTACTTCCAGATAGAAGCTTTAAGTGCTGCTACTTGATTTTTGTTTTTATTTACCTTCTGCCATGGCACCCAGTTATGCTCTGTTAGCTTAGGCCCTGGAATTAGGATGATGGGAACAGTACCTTCAGCCTGTAATATCTTATACTGAGAATGCAAAAACTTTCCTTTAAGCCTTTGAGATGATCAAATGCTTATTATTTTAGCAGCACAACTTAATGTATCCTGACTGATACAGTTGTGTGACTTGGGTTTCACATTACAGGTATTTTTTTCTTGGCTTTCAAACCTGTACCTGTTAGATTATGAACTTCTCCATGAAGGAACTATGCAGTCTTCTTAAACTGTGACTTAGTCTAGTGCTTACTTAGAAACCTTTGATGATGTAGGATTTGAAATGGTACAGACCCGCAAGCAAAATTCATTTTGCAAATGTTTATTGAGTTCCTACTATGTATAGAGCATTATGAGGGATCCAGAGATTAATTGGATAGGTAACCTGCCTCAGGGAGCTTACAGTCTAGCAGAAATGGGCTAAAGTTATACATGAAATGTAGACCATGAAATGTACACAGTTCAGTCATTTATTCAAACATATTTGTGTAAGTCCATTACTATGTGTTTGTCAAGTGCTGGCAATTTAGGAGAACAAAAAGAGATATACTCATTGACTCATGGAGTTAGGAGCTAAAAAGGGAATTAAGATTAATCATACAATTATATATAAAATTTTAACTATGGAAATGATTACAAAGAAACACTTTGAGGGTTTGTGAGAGGAGGATTTATTTAGTCTAGGCGTGCATCGGAAAGCTCAGGGTAACTTTATGGAAATGCCTTGGGCTCAGGCAGACATCAAGCTTACCTGAGTTTAAATTTGGATTCTGCTTCTTTGAGCTGTAAGACCCTGCCCAAGGCATCTCACCTTTCAGAAGAGATTTAATGCCTACCTCATAGGATAGTTGTGAGAATGATATAAGCTTTTATTGTGACAATGCATACAGTATATTCTTAATAAATGTTAGTTACTGACCGTCTTCCCCCATGTGCTTGATTCCATATGACCAACCCAGGGAGAGGTGAGTGAGGTGGAGGATGGGTTTGTCTGAAAGTTAGACAAATCTTCATTGAAGAAGCAGCATTTGCACTTAGACTTAAAGAATGGAAGATGCTTTGATAAAAATAATTGTCATCATATAATGACATGATAATTATAAAAAGCAGGCGATAGTACTTAGTAGCCAAGATCATAGGCTTCAGAATGAGACAGACTCCAATTCAAGGCTAGGGGCTATCACTTTTTAGCTTTGTGGTCTTAGGCAAGGTGCCTCTTTCCTCTATATGGAAATTTTTTCCTTACATAAAATGAAGATATTAGTACCTATTCTTTAAGCCTGTTGTGAAGCTGGAATGGAAAAGGCATGTAAAGTATTAAATACTGATCCTGGTAACTGAGGAAATGCTCACTATAACTAGCAGCCAGTATTTACTCCTACAAATAGGGAAGGGACAAGCTCTGGGTTCTTTTTTGTAGTGTTTTAGATTCAAACTCCTGAGGCTTTGTCTGACTGCAGCAAGCTGGTATCATTGAGTCCAGTGTGAGATTTACTGTCTCCTTAGAGTATTAATACCCACCAATTAATAGTGACAGTCACTAAACATTTAGTACCTAATGAGCTGCATCTCCTCAGTGTGGGTGGAGTGGCATGGCAGAGAAATGTGTAATTCAGCTCACCAGACTTCCTTTTCACTGGCTTTCCATGACCTCCCCACTGGGCTGCCTGAGGGGGTTGACTTCATTTGAAAAATGTATTTAGAAATGTCACTGTCTGGGGAGCCCTGAACTCAAAAGCCTCCTTGGAATCATGGATGCAAAGAATGTCAGAGCCAGTCTCTAGAAAGCATCAAATCCTCATCCAAAAGTCAGGAAGACAAGAGTTAGAAAGGAATGAGGTGGCCAAGGTCACACTGCTGAGGGTATAATAATGATGAAGTTAGGCAAGGTCCTTGCTCTTGTGGAGCTGATGATCCATTGAAGCAGAGAGACATGCAAGAAAACAAATAATTCAAAAAGCGAACAGGGTATAATGACAAAGAATAATGAACTTCAGGGATGTTTTGTGTAGGGCAGCCAGGGAGGAGTCACTGAAGAGGTGGCATTTAAGCTGAGACTTGAAATGTATAAAGACAGCAGCCACACAGAGATCTGAGGCCGGAATGTTCCAGACAGAAGGAACAGCAAGTTCAAAGTTTGTTAGGCAGGGATTCACTTGGTGTGTTTGAATCTGAGTATGGCAGAAGCCCTCTGATCCATGGTGATATTGGACACAAAGAAATTATAACCAATATTACAAATTCTAAGTCAACATTTCTCAAGTTGTAGTCCACTTTTAAAAGGAGATCCAATTTTATTGTGAGTACAAAGGAAAGGAAGCCTACTGGGAAGTTTTAAGCAGTGGAGTGACACAATTGATTAATGATTTAAAAAATCATTCTGCTGTTGTGTGGAGAATAGACTATTTGATGATAAGAATGGAGGCAGGGATATACTTCAGTAGTCTTAGATGAGAGATGGTGATGGAGTGAACCAAGGTAGTACACTGGAGAAGAGGGAGAGAAATGGACAAACTGGAAATATATTTTGAAGATAGAATTGGCGATGTTGGGAGAGAGTGAGGTAAAGGAAATGGAAATCAAGATTAACTCCTTGGTTTTGCCTTGAGCCGCTGAATGTGTGGTAGTGTCATTTGCTGAGGTGAAGAAGACTGGGAGAAGAGAAGAGATGGGCGTTTAAAATTAAGAGTGTAATATTAGATAAAATAAGTGTGAGATGCCAGGGTGACATCCAAGTGGTGCTATCAAGTGTAGCTGGCTGTAAAAGCCTCGAGCATTCTAGCCACCACTTATTGGCTGTATAAGCCTATGGCAAATACTTGAACTTCAGGATGCGACTCCCCTATCCAGTGTCATGCTGATGTTGCTAATAGTTCACAGCACTCTTTCCTGAGGCTCCTGGTTATGGCCTTAGAGTCTTCTCATCAGTGTTCTAGGCAGCCACACCACTAATCTGTTGGTGTTGGTGTTGGTGTTCGAAACACACCTCTTGGCAATTCCCGCTGTGTTGTATTAGCATCTTTTCTTCCTCAACTGTCTCAACTTACTATTGGTTTTATTGTAAAAGTTAGAGTGAGTGAAATATAATTACTTTTCATCACTTACTAAGAGCCACTATATAAGTCCATTGCTCTGCAAGGTGCTGTTTTGGAGAAAGTTATTTAATATATGGTTTGGTCCTCCCTTGAAATTTACAGGGCATCCATGGGGAGTGGAGTGGAATCAAAGGAAAATGCAGGACAATGTATGATTAAATGTCCAAGCAGGTGTTCTAAACAGTATGTTTAGAGGTGGGTAGGATTATCATGTGTTCAAAGCATTTCTAGAAGTACTGGAGAGAGATGAGGCTTGATCTGGCTTTGAGGAAGAAGAGGATTTGGATAGTAGGATAGTGTCATCAAATGGAATAAGTAGTCTGATTAAAGGACTGAAGAGGGGATGTGGGAAGTCAGAAAGAGAGGAGTCTGACCATTTGGAGTGGGAAATTGGTGGGGGGAGGTAAAAATGGTGGTCATGTTATTGTTCTTTCTTTGGGAAAAGCCGCTTTTCAGTGGTTGGCTTAAGGGCTGTGTTGTTTTACTTCATAGCACGAGTTCCCATTTCCCAGATTCTATTCTCAGTTTCCCTGCCATTGGCTACCTGAGTAAGCCCATGCTGTATATTTTTATTACAACATTATGGCAAATTTGGTAAGTTTTTGCTAGCTGGCTGATCTAGCAGATAAACTCCCAAATCTCAGTGGCTTAACACCATACAAGTTTTCATCGTGCTGACATAATAATCTGATGTGGTTGTTCTCTGTCAGGTGGCTCTCCTCGATGCCTCTCCTCCAAGCAATGATTCAGGGATCTAGGCTCTTTTGCATCTTATGTCTTTTCCACCTTCAAAATGTGGCTCTTATGGCTGCTCTGGGATTGGCTCCATTCCCACCAGGCAGCAGGGGAAAAGAGCAGGAAGAGTTGTGTATGGGAGATGTTTGTAAGCCAGGCCTGGAAGTGGGAAATTGATTTCATCTCACTTGCTAAAATTCAGTCTTACGCCAGATCTAACTGCAAAGGAGGCTGGGGAATGTGTGGCCTAAAAGAAAAAAACATGAATTTGGTCATTATCTCTCCCACAAGATGCTGCTGGTCACCTGTCTCTTTGGTGTGAGAGCTCCTGAGCCTGAGGGTCATTGGGCACGCAACTTGGGTCAGAGATCCTCCCTTCCCAGCTCATCACCTCACCCAGACACTGGGAGCTGAGCCAAGCCAGATTCAGGTTAAGACCTGAGCTCGTGTCTGGAGTAGCCCCCCATCTCCCTACCTCCTGTCCCTCCCTTGATTTCAGTTAACTTTTATCCTTTAGTTCTGACTCTGGACTCTTTATCTCAGGCTTGTCCGGGCTTCTTTTTGAACACGGACCTTACTCCTGTGCCTTCGCCTTGACCTCTGATATCTATGCCCACAGACTGTCTCAAGTTCATTATCAGTTCCTTATGAGGAGCACCACGTCTGGATGGGGTGCCTGTGGCTTTGGGTATGATTGTCTTCTTAGTCTTCAAAACTGTAAAGCAGGATTTGATAGTGTTAAAAAGTAGCCTTAGCATGTAAGAGAATTTGCCAAATCTAAAAAACACAATGGTTTGCTAAGGCCTGTTAGGAAAGAACGGTGTTTATGTGGAATTATTAGCCGTACTGGAGTTAGTCTCGTCCAAAAGTAATACTACATATACTTTGTCACACTCATTTTGTGTTAAAAGAACTTTTATGCACATAATCTCATTATCTCATTTTATTCTTATAGCATTCCTACAGAATAGACATTACTATCCCCATGATGAAATATAACCAGAAAAGCAGAACCACGAGGAGAGAAGGATAGATTTATTGCAAGGAATTGGTTTACACAAGTGAAGGTTGGCTGGGCAAGTCTGAAATCTGTAGGACAGGCTCTCAGGAAGGGCAGTTTGGAACTCAGGCATAAGCTCAAAGCACTGGTAAAATTTCTTCAGGGAAGCCTCAGTTCTGCTTTTAAGGACTTTCAGTTGACTGAATCAGGCCTATCCAGGTTACCTAGGATAATCTCCTTTACATAAATCAGCAGGTTATGGAATTTAATCACATCTACCAAACACCTTCATAGAAATACCTAGATTAGTGTTTGTAAAGGAGACCAAGCCTAGCGAAGTTAACACATAAAACTGATTATCATGCCCCATTTTACAGATAAGGAAATAGAGGCTCAGAGATGTAATAAGTTGCAGAGCTGGTTATTTGGGTCTTTTATTTATTTAGGTATTTTTTCAAGTCCCTAAATCACATATTTTTGCAGCAGGGTCCAAAGGAAATAACTGGGTTGGTTTACTGAGAGTGAGCTAAATGATACAATATTCATATACTAAAACTTAATAGTGAAGAAAGTCATTCACTGTATGGCAACCAAGAGAATATGAGAATGACTTATTTTTTGGCTACCTAAAAGTCTCATCATGAGTAATTTCCAATATGAATAAGGCCTTGATTTTAAGGAAGTCATGATAGTAGAGTTTTTTTCTTGAATTCTTCATTCAGGATTGCAGGAGATGCAAACATTTATTTCCAGCCCTGAGGCTGAACAAGTTATTGGTTTAATTATAGAAAGCTGAACTTTCATCTTTCTTTAATTGAGCATGGATAATCTGTACCTGTGATCAGTAGCCAAAATGTCATAAAATCACTTATGAAATTTCAAGCTCTTGAACTGTAGTGAAAATCCCAGTTATTTTGTAGGCCTGTACAGTCACCATTTGGGGCAACCGTTTTAATTTGTTGGTAATATTGTCAACTCTTCGTGACTAGTGTGGTTGGGAAAGTGTCACAAGAAGTGTTATTTCCCTTTTGGTGACAGCCAGTATTTAGGGAAGAATAGGCCAGTGAGGAGACAGGTACTGGCTTCATGGGCGCATGGTTTGAACGACAAGCGGAGATCAGCAGATCATTCTTTTTCACAGCAAGGAGAGGAGAAAAGGGCTCAGAAATTCTGAACAAAATGTCAGTTCTTGGATGCTTTGTTTGTGCATTCTAACATAAGAAGGCGAGGACATTTTTATTTGCTTTTCTTCCCTCCAGTCCCATTCTAGGAAGACAAAGCTATTATTATAGGTTATGTCTAACCACCGAACTCATGGTCTTTAGTGAGAAAGCACCCTAGAGGCCAAAATGACTACTGTCTGTTTCTGCCATAAATTTTGATGGTGGAAAAGAGTGTCGAGCCGCTTATTTATTGCAGCCTTGGAGACACTTACCAGCCCATGTGCCTAGTAACAACTGTGATCTAATTTGAAGGAAGATGGGCTTGATTGTACTGACAGTGTAAGAATAGTCTGTAGAATCTTGAGGGAGAAGTTGATAGGGTGGTCAATTTCTTTTAGCCCTTTTAGGCAGAATCACCTTTTTAAAAAAGGATAGTTTGCAAATTTGGAGTTGAAAGAAACACATGGTTTGAGTAGTATGTGTCTCCCCTGAGGTACTCAGAGGGTACTTTAATGCTCTAGCTTAACCCCAATTATACAGCAGACAGGTTAACTCTGGGCAAACAAAGTGTGCGACATAGAAGAAGCGAGGCTGGGGGAATCGGAACTGAGGAGAGGGCTTAGCAGCTTTTAAATTGATAAAAGAATTGGGGAAAAGGAAGGTCCAGACCAACGGTAAGTCAGTACCTGGAGAAGAATGAGGTGGCCTGTGGCTTCCTGCAGAAGGAGTCTGGGGAAAGTGAGGATAGAGCTGAGAGGGGAATTGGGGATAAGGTGGTAAAATTTTCTTTGGCAGCCTGTGAAGAAGTGGTTTGGAGATGTCGAGTTTATCAGTCAGGAACCCAGCAGAAAAGAGAAAGCATGCTTGACTAGAATTTTGTAAAGAACTGAATAAAGGTGCGACTCAGAGCTGTGTAGGCAGGACTGAAGCACCCAGGAAAAGACGATGAGGTGCCAGGGATTAGCAACAGCCAGCAGCTGTTATACTGTCTAGGTCTGAAGAGCAAGGGGTGAGCACTGGGACCCAGTGTTGCTGGAGCCCCAAGAGACCTGTTTCTGTAGAACGAGGCTCTAGACATGAGTTGTAGAGGGATCAAGCCATTGCCAGAGCCACAGCGATGAGGCACAGGGAGAGCATCAGAAGAAATACTCCAGCTTCTCTCTCCTTCCACCTTCTGGTCTTTCTTTTGGCTGGTCCAGCCTGAAGTCAGAGGAGACAGGATGCACAGAAGGGCAGAGAATGGTTTTAGGATAGAAGCACTGAGAGAATAACCAGCACAGGTGAGAGCCAGGAAGTAGGGGAAGTCCAAGTACTGGTCTTGGCTTGGTAACCAACTTGCAGAGGGACTTTAAGCAAATAGGTTAATCCTCTTCTGTTTCTTTTCTACTCCCAGCAGTAAATGGGAGTAATAATTCTTGCCCATATCCTGGAGTTGTTCTAAAGGTCAGATGACGTAATCAGTGTATTTATTTCATCAATTTATGTTTATGTTGTACTTTACAACCTTATAATTTCCAAATCTTTCTCATATCTGTTACCTCATTTGCTTCTCAAAATTAGCTTGTAGGGTAGCCAAGGTAAGTTTCATTATTCCCATTTTACAGCTGAGATGATTGAATCAGAGAAGCTAAGTGGTTTTTCATAGTTACAAAGCTAATACATCTTTTTACTCAAACATGACTGTAATTTTCTTTTATCATACTGAAGTGCAATTTAGTTCAACATTTCAGGCAGTTTGGGGGGACCGTTACTGTCTTTATAAGGCATAACAGTTCCAGATAAGGAGCTGAGACCATACCTTTCATGTGGTCTGTAAGAACAATATCCATGATTCGGGTCTTCTTTCTTAACTGAGCATAATCTTAGGGAGAAAAAAATGGGGAAGAAACGGAGTTTTCTCTTTTTCCATAACTGGCCATTCCTCCTCTGTTGGCAGAAAATGCAAAATAAAGTGCTATAAGAAAGTTTGTATCCCTCCCCCAAATTTATGTGCTGGGATCCATCGTCCAATGTGATGGTGTTTGGAGGTGGGGCCTTTGGGCAATGATTAGGTTGTGAGGGCAGAGGCCTCAGGAATGGGATTAGTGCCCTGATGAAAGAGATGCCAGACAGCTCTCCCTCCCCTTCTGCTATATGAGGACATCATGAGAATAACTCTCTATTAGTTATTAAATAGTGATTCTGTTTTTATCTTTTAATAATATGCCTATTTTATAAATATTTTGAGTTTAGAAAATAAACAGCTTTCCTTTATTAGAGTTAAAGAGATTGTGTGCTCACTGTTCCTCCTTCTATTGTCAACCTTCCTCCATCTCTTATTACACTGGCACATGGGCAGTTTTATTCCAGTGTATTATCTGCTTGTGTATTTTAGAAAGAATGCTAATATGATAATGCATGAAGAATGGTTTAAAATTGAAGATGGACAAGGAGACTAGTTGGAAATTATTGTAGAAGTTGAATGAAGGGAGTGGCTATGTCTGAATGAGAAGGAAGGGACCTGATACGAGACTGTTCATAAATCCAGTTTCAATTTCGACTTTGTTATGGGGCTTTCTTCACTGAAAAGGAATGTGGTCTATCTGTACCATTTCTTTACTCTGCCTCACTCATGCTAATCGGTCACTCTCCTCTCAGTGTGTTTGACTAGATCTGAATCCTTAGAATATTTCTATGGTTTAGGCATATTTGAATTTACTTGGTTTCTCTTCTGATGTGATGTACCTGTCTGATTTGTGTCTCTTTGTCAGTTTTAAGCTGTTTGCTTTTGAACCTTGTCATCTTCATACCCTGAAGCCCTGAGAGTGCCCAGAACAGTGTGGAGGCTCTCTGAGCACCTCACCTGCGTGCTTTCACCTTGGCTTCTTCTTTCTGCCTCACTGATCCCAGCATCAAATGGAAATGACACATCTGCCCACGATCTGCTTCACATGGGCACTTTGATAGTTAATTAATTTTTATTATTTTAATTTTTTTTAGAGCAAAGTCTCCTTACTTTGTTGAAGCAGAGACAGAACATGTAGTACCAAAGGAGGTCACCATGTTAGCTTCTGCTCACAGTTCGGCTCTGTTCAGCTTCTCTGGCGTGAGCAGGTGTTGGTTGACCAGCTCTGTTTTTCCATACAGATTTATTTATGAGGATCATAACAAAGAAAGAAACAGCAAGAGATAGAGCAAGAAAGCTCCTCTTGCAGCAGCCCCTGCTCAGGTCTGTGGAAGGAGTTACAGGACTCCACACACAGGTCTTCTTTCCCACAGAGCTTATAT